AGAATTTATTGAAAGTATACGTATGCTCGCCAATTACTCTTCGGATTTTTTTAATGGAAAAAAATAAATTAATTAAAAATGCTGCAGCGTTAGGAGTCCGTTAAGTGATCAAGAGCCACCACGCAAATTTCCATTAACTTTTTGTAGGAGATAAAAAAAGACAAGCTAGTCACCTGCGAGTGAAGTTGATCAGACTCATCAGAGTTCCAGCTCTCAGATTCACTGTCATCCTCGTCACCGTCATTGTCCGAGAATTCGGTGTCACTGGAGTCCTGCAGAAAATCACTAAAATCATCCACCTCGACCACACCGGGACCGGGGTTATGAGTCAACGGTCGCAGCCGCCTACGACGCCTATCGTCGACAGATGGTGCAGTTTCTGAATCACTTGACGCCCGACCACGGTACGTTGGCTCATTCTCCTCCTCTTCCACATCAGCTGCTCCCTCATTTTCAGGTACTTCTGGTCTGTCTCCTGTATGAATTAAACAAAGGAACCTATTCAGCCTGAGGCAATCACCGCTTTTAGCTTTTCCTTTCTGTCCTGCTAACATTACTCTGACCCCTGCCCCGTAAAGAAAGTTTACTAACTGCCTTTATTACTCTGACCATCCTCTATCTCCTGTTCAGTTCTAGTACGCCAATTGCAAGATGAATAAAGCCCTATTCTAGTTTCTCGTTAATTCTACCTCCTCGTCTGTTTGGCTCGTACTTACTGAATCTCGCCGCTTTATCTTTTCTGATCACGACAATTTAATCGTCTTACAACGCAAAATGGATCGATTCTTCAAACTAGAACGATTTGATGTGGATCCAAATGCTCCTGTGTGAATTAAACAAAGGAACCAATTTAGCCTGAGGCAACCACCGCTTTTTGGTGTTTCATCTCACCTTAGGTAGTAGACCTCAAATTCCTGCTGTAATTAAAAATTGCACTCGAGTGATGTAAAAATATAAATTAATTCATCAGTGCCATCCTGTATGCGATGCATTTTGGTAGATATTTTAGGGCGGCTAAGCGTCAGTGGTGCATTTTAAAATTAAAACCTCACTATTTGTCATCTAGCGAAACATCGGAACAACCGTGATTGTAGGTTAGAGCAAGAAAACTCGTCCGCTTAGGATATTGAAAAAACCGCGATAGGCTCCTCCTGGCATGCTTCAAACACTTTCAGCAGCAGGCCATCCGGTTGGCATATACCCTCCCCCCCACGGGCGAGAGTTTTTCTCCTTAAAGTCCCGCAAATGGCATTCAAACCTAGAATTATGAACAATGCCTAAGGA